CCCGCCTCGGCCTCCCAGAGTGCTAGGATTACAGGCGTGAGCCACCGCGCCCAGCCAAAAGTTTTGATTTTTATGTCATCAGATTTCTCAATTTTTTTTCTTTTGTGTCTTTTATCATATTTTAGAAAGACTTACCACACTTCATAGTTATCAAATAACACATCCGTGTTTTCTCTGTGATTTTATTTAGATCTTTGATCCACTTGTGGAATATATTGTCAGTGAATGACAAGACATGGAGCTAATTTTATTTTTTTCCCCCATTGTTATCCTGTTTTCCCATCACTATTTATTTAATCTTATTTAATGTTTATTAAATCTTATGTGTACTGTATTATATTTCATCTTATCCTTCCTATTTTGAGATGGTACCTTTATTGTATCCTAAAATCGTGTGTATTTTATAGGTGTTTTCTGGAATTTCTATTTTATTTATCTGTTTTTTAATATATTAGTACCATACTGTTTTAAGTAGTGATGATGAGTAGTATATATTTTTTGCTTGTATTTATATATTTGTTTTTAGCGATGAGGTCTTGCTCTTTAGCCCAGGCTGGAGTGCATTGGTGTGACCAGAGCTCAGTGTAGCCCTGAACTGCTAGGCTTAGGTGATCCTCTGGCCTCAGCCTCCGAAGTAGCCAGGACTACAGACACATGCCACCACACCCAGCTAATTTTTTTATATATCATAAAGACGGGGTATTGCTGTGTTGCCCCAGCTGGTTTTGAACTCCTGGCCTCAGGTAATACTCCCGCCTTGATCTCCTGAAGTAGTAGTTTTTTTTTTTTTTGGGAGACAGTCTTGCTCTGTCACCTGGGCTAGAGTGCCATGGCGTCAGCCTAGATCACAGCAACCTTAAACTCCTGGGCTCAAACAATCCTCCTTCCTCAGCCTCCTGAGTAGCTGGGGCTACACGTGTGTACCACCATGCCCAGCTGATTTTTTTTCTATTTTTAGTAGAGATGGGGTCTGGTTCTTGCTCAGGCTGATCTCCAACTCCTGAGCTCAAGTGATCCTCCTGCCTCAGCCTCCCAGAGTGCTAGGATTATAGGCATGAACCACTGTGCTCAGCCTGAATAGTATATTTTTAACATCTGACAGAACAAGTTAGTCTCTTCTTTTTCAGTTTTCTTTTCTATTCTTACTGTAAATAGGCTTTTAAAGGAGTTCTTTCTGTTTCTTAGTGGGTTATTTTAGAATTTTTTAGAATTTCATTTGTACATGACTTCATGTTGGATGTAATTTCAATAATGTTTATTTTTTAGGGAAACTGATCAAATGGAAAATGTTAAGCCAGTGTTGAGAGGTCGACTCCAGAGACCTAAACCAAATTTATCAAGGGCAGTTGGGAAGAAATCAGTTCTTTCACAAGGCAAAACAGATGCAGAGAGCAAGAATTCACATTCTGAAACTTCAGTTGATAAGGTACGGAGTAAAAATTTCCCCTAAATAGTCTGGAATAAAAATTTTTACCTTGTAATGACAAAGTATTGTTCCTGATGTTAAAATAGATACAGGAACTTACACATTAACATTAGGTTTTTACCTATAAGTCTCTGTTTATGCATTTTCTTTAGAACCTGCGACACATCATTTTAAACATCCTCAGTGGTGATACATCTGTCTTTTGTTTACTTATATAAAATTTGCATTCAAAATATTTCTTAAACCAGTTGTACATTAATTTATACTCATAACCCTTTCATCTAAACCTGGGCAGTCACATTCCTGTTTGTCCTTTATAAACTTTCCTCATATCTATGTATATAAATATTTCTATAGCTTTTAACCATAATGTGTATAACATTTAAAACCTTTTTCTTTGGGACTATTCATTTATACTTTCTTGGTCTTTTTAATAACTATATTGGGTTAACATATTATTCATTTACCTAACTATTCCTCTAATGGTGGACGTTAGGTTGTTTCCTTTCTTTTAGTCTTGTAAATAAAAGCAAATCTTTTTTAAAAAATTACTTGTCACTTGAGAAAGCAAACAATTTTTTAAATAGGGCTTGCTTTTTTTGGTGGGGGGAGGTGTCCAGTGAAAACTTGAAGACCTGCTTTTTATAGTACAGTTATATTATTTTAATCTTAAAATGTTTATTAAATTATGGAAAATACAGATTCATGTAAAAGTTAAAAATTACTTGTAATTTCATTATTGGTCACAAAAGATGTGACCAGTCTTTTCACATATATCCTTTCAGGTTTTCTTTTATAACATTGAGTAGTGGTATCAATTCAGCTTTGTACCCTTCTTTGATATTTAACATTTCATAAATATTTTGCATGTCATTTAACATCTTTTGAAAGCACGGTGTTTAGTGAGTTCATAATAGTCTTATCAGTAAGGTGTAACTGAATTTATTCAACCAGTTATTCATTATTGGACATTTTGTCTGTTTACAGTGTTTGCTATTTTACATGTGCCAGTGAACTTTCTAGTAGTTCAATCTTTTTTCCAGTAATTCTCTTAAAATAAAATATTCAGAATGATAATACTGGGTCAAATAATATGAACATTTTTAAGACTCTCGATTCATATTGGCAAAAGTCCTTCTAGTAATGTATGAGATTATCTGTTTTATAATATGGTCATTTACATTTAGGATTTTTAGAAAATCTCTTCTAATTAGAAGTACAAAAAATGAAATTCCATTGTTTTAATTTCTATTCATTTATTACAAAGTTTAAACTTTTTTATGGTAGGTAGATTAACTGTAAACAATTAAATTCACAGAATCCCATTGAAAAGGATAAAGTGAATACACTTGACATTTCTGGAATGGAGAATACAGAGAGAGAGAACCCAGAAGCTAAGACTATATCTAAGTAAGTATTTAAGTAGTATAAAAATAGTAACTCTTAGGAATGATTGTAATAACTTGTTTTCTACTTGATAAGATCTGAATTTTATTTTCAACTAGTGTACTTTAAGTCCATTTTCAACTATAGGTGGTGTTGAAACATTTTAATAATGTTCTCTGTGCTTGATAGTATAGATATAAATTATGGATGAGTCCATTGAGTTAGCCATTACATTTCTCCCTCAATCTATTAACAAGACGCCTTGTTAAATGAATGAATGGTTAAGATATATGTTCCTGGATAATTTTATTTATATCAAGGATTTCAAAAGGGAATATTTAACTTGAAATGGAGATCTAGAACAGGCCTCACTCTAATGTGAATCTGATGATTGGATTTTAGGCTGTTCTGGGGATACCATTTACACCATAATTTGGGACTAATCCCCTGGAGTTTTACGTTATACAATAGTATCTTTAATAAGGAATAGTATTCATGCTTTTGTAGATGTAGATTTTTCCAATGTTATAATGAAATTTAATTTAAAAGTACTTTTTATAGTCAGGATTCCAGGATTATGTGTCTTCAGGATACTTGTAAATTATTTTATATTCCATATTGTTTACTTATTCATACCAGGGAGAATAGAATACTCAAAAACCAGTGAGTTTGTGACTTCAGAATAAATATTGATTTTATTTTTTTGTGGTTATTCTAGTCTGAGTGAAAAAAAAAGTCTACAGGAAGATGATCAAGCAAAGGCTCTCAGATCTACACGAGTAACGAGGGGCCGATTGCAAAGGCCAAAGCCAAATTTAGGTAAAGCTGCTGAAAGAAAAGAAATTTTTGCATCACTGGAAAAAATTGGAGCCAATGTAGAAAAGAATGAAAGTGAATCCTGCGTTGATAGAGATGTAAGTAGTCTGATTTCTCCCCATAGTTTTGTTACAGTACATAAGCCTTAACATAAGCATCTCTTCACTCCCTTATTAAAACAGCAATGCTGCAGGATTTGTGTGCATTGTTTGTTAAATTTATGGTCTAAATCTCATAGCCAGCAGCCTTGCTAATTGTAATGTTTTAGAATTTGAGCATTTACATTATAGATAATCTGCTTTTATCTTACCTCATATTTGGACTTGCTTTTCCCTGTCACTTAGCAGATATTTGAATTAACCTTCCCTTTTGAAGAGATAGCTACATAAATGAATTTTAATATTGGCTTAAACAGAATAAAATGTTAAACGCTCCCTACTAGAAATTCTAAGAACAAAGATCATGAATTTTAGATTGTTTACATACTTTTCATGATAAGGATAGAAGTTGGCGTGATTTGAGATTTGAATTTGTTGTAAATCACGTGATCTGTAATGTAATTACAGTAATCAGAAGAATTCAGAAAGACCCCATGGGGTAATTCTAACGGATGAGACTGAAGCAATTACTTGCTTTCTGATTGGGAGAAAAAGAATAAGGGCTTTGAGTTATGGTAAAGGTGTGGCTTATGAAATTTTCTAAGATGGCTAAAGAAAAACAATAAAAACATCTTTTGAATATCATTTTATAATTTTGACATTTTTACCATTTTCCTTATACTCAGATTGGACAAAATTTCAATGAAATCTGTTAAAATTTTGTGTTTTCTTGTTATCAAGACTCTGCAACAAATGGAAGATGAGTCGTATAAAAATTTTGAATGTGAAGACATCACAACACAGCCTGCAAATAAAGATTCTTTTCAAGATGTGCAGCCAGATGAGCCCAAGGTTCTTAATGAATGTCTAAGGTAAGCATCATTTTGTTAATTATACAATCTTTGAATTTTGGATAAAGTTTTAGAACTCATAAATCAGTTTTTTAAGGTAAAAGCAAATTAGATGGATTTGTTATGTGTATATCAAGTTATATAATGTTTAAAACCGTAACTTCGGTTGGGCACAGTGGTTCACACCTGTGATCCTAGCACTCTGGGAGGCCAAGGCAGGAGGATCACTTGAGGCCCAGAGTTTGAAACCAGCCTGAGCAAAAGCAAGACCCTATCTCTACTAAAAATAGGAAAAAAAAAACCAAAAAAACGCTGTTGCATGCCTGTAGTCCCAGCTACTGGGGAGGCTGAGGCAGGAGGATCACTTGAGCCTGAGAGTTTGAGGTTGCAGTGAGCTATGATGATGCAACTGCACTTCTAGCCAGGGTGACAGAGCAAGACTGTCTCAAAAAACAAAACAAAATAAAAACTTTTAACTTCACTTTTCAAGGTAGTTAATGTCATAGCCTTTATGTTGATTTCTCAGTTATGGGTGGTTTGAGAAAAGCTACTCATTATAAATTAAAACTTGAGTTAATGCGAATAGTGTTATCACTTACCATGCATATTAAATTATATATTTATGTTCAAATGTGAAAATGCTACTTAGTTTTTCAGTGTTTGTTTCCTTGGAATTAGATTGATCGCATATTATTGCCTTTATTTAAAATTCTTATTTTATTTAAAACCCACATATAAACCCATGCTTCTGATAGCCACAGCCTTTTATATTTTATTTCCTCTTCAGAAGGTACCACACCAGATTGGTGGAATTATTAATATTTTTAAAAATTTCATTTTGGGAATATTAAATGTGCACAAAAGTATAGTAATGGACTCCCACATACTTACAATCCAGTTTCAACAATTAGTATTTTACCAATCTTTACATTTAAAGGTTGGCATAGTCTGTTCTTATAGCTGTGTTAGCCTGTTTAAATAGTACCTGGCCTGAGAGTGAAAGCTTGGTTTCTTGAACTACTTTATTGGTCTTTATTAAATTCCTTTATTCCTTCTTTTCTACACTATTCCTTTTTTTCTTATTCCTCCCCCCATCCCAACTATTTTGATTCTATGCCACAGAATCTCTGGGTAGAAACCGAGCTACATTACTTTTTAAACATCTGATATAGGTTTCAATTACAGATACCTGACAAATTGGTTTTTTAATTTATATTTTTTCAGTTTAAGCCAGATTGTATTTATTACTTAATGTGGCTTAGAAGAAAATTGTTTTCCCTTAGTGGCCTCTCAGTTTTATAACACTGGTGGATGTTGTTTATAACTAATATTCAGTCTCATCTCAACTTTCCTTTCCAAGGGCAGTGTCCTTTCTGCTTTATCATGTGACCTCTCTGGCCTTTGAATCTGCAGGATCCTTAAAAACAATTGTAAGATTCTGTGTTTTATCAAATCATACGTCTGTCTATATCTAACAGGCAGTTTTCTCCCACCCCTGTTCCAAACACTTTGGCCTGTTTAAGATGCTATGTAAAAGAAAGAGATAATAGGGAAGGATAGTTTCTCCAATGAAGAATGCATTAAAAATTCTATGTTATTAGACAAATTAGTGAATATTTCTTTGAAACTTAATTGGGTAGGCTAATTTTGCATCCCATCCACTTCATATAAATATTTTGAGATTTGTGTCATGATTGGTGATTTATCTTATGAGGGTTTATAAGTAAATCCTTAAATTCTATTTTAGAAAAACACATTTGTAGACCTTGAAGCAGATCTATAGTTTTGTGCCCATTCCTTCTTATTTTCTCCAGTTTTGAGCATCTTTCTGTCATTGCTTTTCTCTTTTAATTTTATGATCTGAGGAGAGAATTTGTGGCTCCACTATATGTTCTAAGTTGAGGAGTAATCTATTTCAACTACATATCTGATTTCCAATCTCAGATACTGCCCTTCAGTTAATTATGCACCTGATATAAGCTCTATGAGACAAAGTCTGTCTTGTTCACCATGGTATCCTCAGTTCTTAGTACTTGCCTTCTTGGACTATAATAGGTGCTTAGAAATATTTGTTGTCTTATTGTTCATGAACTCTAGGAGGGGTGATGTTTGTGTATTTTTATCCATTAAAAAAAGCTTATTAAAGTCCTTTTGTTACTTAGAAACAATTTAAGCCCATAGAACATAACATTGCATATTATTTGTATCTTATAATCTGAACTAATATTGAAGTAATTAAATTATTAGTAAAGCCTTTGCCTAAAGCATTTACATGTATAAAGAATGTGCCAGTTTTCAAAATGTGGCTTTATAGTTTATCTTTTCCTGTGATACCCAAATCAAGATTGCTAGCACAGCAAGATTGCTAGCACAGCAACCTTGCTAAACTTAGCTAGATGTTTCTGGGTGAAGACAAAAAGTATTATAAATGAAAGAATGGAGTGAAATCCATGCAGGACAAATCAAATTAAATTTTTTTTATTGATGGCTATTACTTTTGCATTTAATGTTATCAATTACCAAAATTAATGATAGATATAAACAAATGCAATTTGAAAAGTGGTGTTGTTCCTAAGGACCTGCCTTATATTATCAAAAATTGCATTATAAAAAATAGTTATTTCAGCTGGATGTGGCAGCTCACACCTATAATCCTAGCACTTTAGGAGGCCAAGGCAGGAGGATTGCTTGAGGCCCAGAGTTCAAGATGAGCCTTACCAAGAGCAAGACCCCATCTCTATTAAAAAAAGTAGGAAAATTAGCTGGTTGTGGTGGCATGTGCCTATAGTCCCTGCTACTCAGGAGACTGAGGCAGGAGAATCACTTGAACCTAGGAATTCGAGGCTGCAGTGAGCTATGGTGATGCCACTGCACTTCAGCCTGGGTGACAGAGCGAGACCCTGTCTCTAAAAAAAAAAAAAAGTTATTTCAGTGACAAAAGATAGGCTGGGACCTAGAGAAGTTCAAACAAATAATAGCATACTTTCTAGTAAATCTTTCTGTAAAGCTATTAATTATATGATTATATACTTGTTCAGCCAGACTTGGCTGAATAAATCTAGTGTTTCATTGATGTAGCTTTCGCCCAAAATTAATAACCTTTCCTATCAGTCATTAAGAGCTCCTTCATTTATATATTTGTGTTGGTTTTACCATCTATTATGATAAACAGAATGCAAAGCAAAGAGTGCTGCTGCTTTTCTGAAGAGCCAGGTGCTTATTCTGGATAATGATTTTATGCCCAATAGCATTAAGCAAAATGTTGTATATTTAATCTGTCCTTTTATTCTCAATTTGTATTATCAAAGTCACAAACAGAAATATCTGTACAGCAAAACTCATTTTTAATTGCTTTTAAAAAGTGGGAAGGGCAGACCTAGTTCTTAGTCATAAGACTTTATCATATTCACGTCATACTTTTATCCGGCTATTTGAGATGGTCAGGTCTGTTATGGCAAATTGTGTGTCTAGGTAAAAGATAATAGGGGCAAAGAGGCAGAAATAGCAGAAACATCTTGATGTACCTCCAGTGCAGAGGACTGAAGAGTATTTCCCAGCCAGTATTTGCTTACTGTGGCATAGACAATTGAAAAGGGACTAGTTAGGGCCAAATAGTTTCTACACTGATTGACCTTATTAATAGATATCTCTCCATATGTCTATACGGAAGTAGATATATTTAAGTTTTTAATTTTTTTACTATAATTTCCAAAAATGGAATTTTTTTCTTTCTCTTAATTTTAAAATTTTACTCAGTGATTCCTAGGGCTTCCTTAATGTTTTTTTATTTGAGAGTTTCTGGTGTTTCTCTCATAATTTTCAACCATCATCTCCAGCTGCAGTCTGGTTTAAAACTTGATCGTGTGTCTTTTTTTACAGCATTCAAGAGGATAAGAAAGCACCTATACTCAAACAAGTCCCAATTCTAAGGCCTCGATTTCAGAAACCAAAGCCAAACATAGAAAGAGGCACTGGAAGAAAAGAAATTTCCTCAAAGGAGGAGGTACCAGAGGAGACTCTTGTCTCTGGCGAAATGACAGCAGCTTTGAGAGAAACTGTAAGACTAGACACCTCACCAAAGGAAGTGGGACTAGTGGAAATTAATACTGCTAAGGAAATGGAGTCAAATTTAAAAGAAGCTGGAAGAGGAGACCTTTCTTCCAGGGAGAAGATACCAGAAGTGATTGATGTCATCATGGAAATGGAGACAGGTTTGAAAGTAACTGGAAGAGAAATTTCCCCAAGGGAGAAGATACCAGAGATGATTGATACCACTGAGGAAATAGACACAGATTTGAAAGAAACTGGAAGAAGAGAAATATTCCCACAAGAAAATGGCTCCAAGGAGGCCAAACCTGTATGTGAAATGGAGACAGATTTGAAAGAAACTGGAAGAGAGGTGCCCACAAGAGAGATGATACCAGAGATGATTGATGTCACTGAAGAAAGAGAGACAGATTTGGAAGAAACTGAAAGAAGAGAAATAACTGCATGGGTAAAGGCCCCAGAGGAGGTCAAAACTATAGGTGAAATGGAAGCAGATTTGAAAGAAATTGGAGGAAAAATTTCCCAAAGGGAAGAGGTAATAGTGGAGGTCAGTGCTATAGGAGAAAAGAAGATTGATTTGAAGGAGACTGGAAAAAGAGACATTTCCCTGATGGAGACGCCATCAGGAAGGATGACTGCCATTGAAGAAATGGAGGCAGATTTGGAAGAAACTGGAAGAGGAATTTCCTTCAGAGAGAGAGGATCTGAAGAAATCTGTGATACGAAGGAAATGGTGGCAGATTTGAAAAAAACTGGAAAAATAGACATTTCTCTAAGAGAAAATGAACGAGAAGAAACTGGTATCTCAAGACAAACTGAGACAAATTTAATGCAGAGCGGGAGTGATGACTGCAGCCCTACGCCTTCACTAGATATAAAAGTACGTATTTTTCTGTCATATAAAAATTTTTTTGAATATGTTTTTCAGAGAAAAGTTACCCAAGTAATTCCATATTATTGCCCTTTAAGTCCAAAAACACTTAAAATCTCTAAAAGTCTGAAGTTTTTTTCTAGCCCTAAATTTCTGTTTTTTTTTTTTTTTGAGGCAGAGTCTCACTCTTTTGCCCAGGCTAGAGTGAGTGCCATGGCGTCAGCCT